GAAGCACTTAACACTAACTCCCATGCTCAAATATACACATTTGCACATAGTGAACTTCCATCTAGGACATAGCCCCTGACACATCTTTAAACATTGCAGAATGGACCAGTAAATCAGCTCCACAGATTTTGTGTCACTACTCCATTTCTAAAGCTCTAACCTATATCATAATGGTCCTGAGAAACATGCATTCATTTTCTCCTCTTTTTGCACATTTTGCCCTCCATTTTCTCTGTGCGCTCCCTGCTGTCTTTGTCAATTTATCTCTGAGCTACTTCAATTACCTTGGACTCTGCTAACCTCACAAACTTAAAAATGAAACTAGATTCATCAGAGAAAAACGGAATCACATTCCTTTCACCCTATCAAGGAGTAGGAAAAAAAAAAACTACTTTGGAATTTACTTGATATTCGGCGTTTTAGAAAGCAATTCCTTAAATTATTCTGCTTAAACTACTTCTCCAACTTTCTCCAAAAGCAGTGCTAAAATGTGCAGTTAGGAAAGCCTAAATTTCTGTAGAGTCGGTGCTTCCATGTGAACAGCAGGGGGCAATAGCGCACCGAGAAAAGCAACCAACACCCCACAATCACCACCACCCTCTTCAGCTCCCCGGCTCTGGGAAACACTGTTGAATTGCTGCACCGGGTCTGTGTGCGCCCGCCAGCGAGATGATCTCAGCTCTCAGATGAAGTCTTTTGTTTTGTGTCCTATTTTACAATGCATGGTTCAGTTTTCTATAGGAGTTGTGACTCGGTTAGATAGTATTTCACTGTGACAGCTTGCTTAAGAAAAAGAAAGGTAAGGGGAAAAAGGGAAAAATGAAAGATAAAATGGTCCCAAATGAAACAGAAGACAAAAAAAGAAGTAATCCTGCATATAGATAGTAAAGTTTGTTATTTCTCTCTTCCCATCCTGTACACTGATTTTCTGAATTACAGATTAAATTAATCTTTGTTCCTCCCTCACTCACACACACACTCATTTCATTTTTTCTGTAAAAACTTAGATTTCTTTTTTAAAAAGTTTTTTAAAAAATCTAAGGAGAATATATGTCTTTTCCAAACAATTACAAAAAAAAAAATTCTGTCATTTTCTGGCCTTTAATCAAGTTTCCGAGTATAATGTTTTTATGCATTCTCAACATTTAGTCAAATACATTTCATTGATTCTTGTGTTGCAACAGAAATTTTCCTTGTAAACACATAACTTCAGATAAATAGCCAAAAGCTATAACGGTGATCTGTATCTGAAGTGTTTGGAGGTAGAATTCATAGTACAAACTGAAACATCAAAAATTTGAAGAATATGTTCACAGATAAGTGCAATGGTATGGATTTGGAAAGGTGTTTAGTAATATAACTTTTGAAATCAGAAAATATGAAACCACTTTGCTGTATTGTTTGAGTGCATCCCAGAATACAATGTCCACAAGCCTGGCCTTCTGGCCTTTCCTCCCACTATCATAAGAGAAATTCCTAGTCACACCAGTCAGCTCCCTTGTGTTCTTGACAACATACCGGGTATTCTTGTGCCCTGGGGCTTTTCCCCAAGTTGTTCTTTCCTCAAGAACAATCTGACCTCAGTCATCCAAATGAGTTATCCTTCATCCACTCTTAAGTGTTTGTGCAAAAGTCATGTTTTCAGTGAGACCTTCCCTGATCACCTATTTAAAATGGAATTTTCCCCTTAACATATCCTATACCTCCCTTTCTTCTTTGTTTTCCTCAATAGCACTTATCACCATCTAATATGCCATATATTACATGTTAATATAATTTATGAGATAACAGACCAAATATAATAGCCAATAGAAGGCTTAACCCCATTATTTAAAGGGGAAAAAAACTAGGTTAATCCCAAAGGAAAACTTAACTGCTATATGTCAAAGACAAGACATACATAAAGCAAAACAATTAAGAAATGATATGAATGAATAAGAGAAAGGATGGACAAAGGTATAACAAGAAAAAGCAAATTTAAAAGGAAAATAAATCAAGATTTTTGAAATCCAAGAAAGAAGAGTGGAGACAAAAAACCATTACTAACACACATGCACAAACCTTATAATGCTACAATTCAAATGAAAACAAAATATTTATGGAAAAGTATTCATAAAATAACATAGCAGTCACTTTTCTTAGTGAAAATTATGAGATAGTAAAAAAATTGAAATATGCAAATAACAGGCTCTTAATCCAAGACAAAAAATTTATTAAAAGTGACTCCAAAATTTACATATGACTACTTCAATAAATTATATTTAATAATATTATCTATTAATAGTATGATAGGCTAGGGGTATAGTTTACAGGTAGAACAATTGCTAAGCATGCACAGGGCCCTAAATTCAGTCCCTAGCAACACACACACACACACACACACACACACACACACCATTATGATAAAACTAGCAATTTATGACTATCAAAACATGAGAAACACTTCTCACCTTGAAATTTTGAATTTTTCTATTAAATGGAGCTTGAATCAAATGAAAATATCAACTGATATTGAGAAAATCTAGAAAAAAATTAAAATGTAGCATCAGACTCCACAAAATACAGCAAAAAAACATTTAGAACAAAATTCAAAGACGTGTTTATAGCAATAAAAATTAGAGGATTAAATAAATGAATTAAATATTCCACTTGCTTTTTCCCCCCACTTTGGATTTAATTTCCTTTTAATTAAGCAAACCTAGATTTGAAAACAGCATGAATCAAACCTAGTTATATTCAACTACACTTAGAATTTTTACTAGTAGTTGTAATATTATGAAGAAAAGTAAATAATCACGTTAGAATCATTGGAATCACGCTTCTCAGCATAAGAGAGAAAAGGTGCAAAACAAAATCAAAAAGTAAAAATCATATAGTCTTTCATTAAAACTTAAATCATATAACAAATTCTTGCTTTTTCTTTTAAAAACTACATAGTTTCTAGATCTTGTATTTAAAAGACTGAGAAGTAACCACAAGCCATTTAGCCATGAGCATCCTTAAGTGAACACAAGGTAGTCTCCAATTATTATTGTCATGAAGGCAACGAAACAGTTGATTCTAAGTCTTGAGCAATAAACGTATTGTAAATGTACAATACTATACAGGTAAGACATGTCACAAGGACCCCATTGGGACACTTGAGGTTGTATCAAATAAGCACAAGAACCGTAGATGTCTAAAGATGAGCGATTTGAACTTCAAAGTGAGTAATCACTGCAATTATTTAAAAGTGTAAATAGATATGCAAATAGAAAACTCCTAGAATCGATTAAAGGAGATTAAATATAGCAGCAGGATATAAAATTACATGTAAAAATCAATATGCTCATTTTTTTTAGGCAATGAGCAATTACAGGGGAAAATAAAAGAGATGATCCCATTTACACTAACAACACAAAAGACTTAGCAATAAATTCAACAATGTGAAAAAATTATAGGAGAAAAACTTTGTGGTTTTCCTGAAAGAGAAAATTGAGACTTGAGTAAAAGGAAAAATAAATACTGTTTTTCAATAGAAAAATGCAATATCATAAAAATTGATGCCAATTTTTAATCTAACTTATATGTAGCTAGATTCTAAAATCAGAAAAAAATAAGCAAGAATAAAAAACACCCACAAGCAGCAATGAGGCAGGACCAGCCTCATCAGATACTGAAATCTTTGTATCATAGTCTCTATAATCAAAATAGCTTAAATTTAGCAAAAAGATAGAACACTCAATGGAAAGAACCAAAAATATATAGACTCAAGTACAATGTAAAAATTTACATATATATGACAAAAATAGTTTATTAAATCACTGGGGGGACTTTTAAAAATATATATTTATTTTTTTGGTGTAGATGGACACAACACAATGCCTTTATTTTTATGTGGTGCTGAGGATGGAACCCGGGTCCGCCCCTACTAAGCTAGTGCTCTTCCACTGAGCCACAATCCCAGCCCCATGGGGCGGGGGGAGGACTTTTTAAAAATGTAAGGCAGGCATTTGAAATAGAAAATAGTCCTAGGAAGACAGATAAAATTGGATATTAAATTATCTGGGTATACTTACCACCAAAATTCATATGTGTGTATACATATATGTAAATATATATGATATATAATCATTGTCAATTTGATAATGAGGAACAAATCTGACATGTCCAAAGTGAAGGATATTCTGGACGAATAGGCAGACCGGCTTAGATTTTTTTTAAAAAAACGTCAATTCCAGGAAAAACAAGAAACAAACAAACAAACAAAGACGACTGGGGAACTGCTCTAAATCAAGGAAACTAAAGAGATTTAACAACTAAATATAACATGTGTTCCAGTTTACTTAATCCCAGGCTTCTCTTTTACCAACAATAAACAAAGACATTTTGGAGACAATTGAGGAAGTCAAAATATACGAACTCTATCCTGATTACAGTAATGTAGCAATGTCACATTCCCTAATGATGATCCTTGTACGTGAATCTGATGTTATATGGCTTATGTCGATATTGGCGATTTTGCTCCCCTCGCCACCACCACACAGGTACGTGGCAGTGTGTGGGGACGTTTTGGATTGTCAGAATTGGGGAAGGAGGGGATGCTGGTGGCATTTAGTAGGTATAGCCCAAGGATGCCGCTAGACATTGCTTATTTACTATACAACATGACCCCTCCGCACGCTCTAAAAACCTTCTTGCCCCAAACGCCAACAGCCCGGTGGTCGAGAAACCCTGAGGTAGGAAACCCCTTACTCTCAGGGTATACACACTGAGCTATTAGGCTGAATCACACGTAATTGTCTTTTGTATAGTTCAAACATGGGCAGGATTTAAGGGTGAAGGGTTACAGTGCTCACAACTCTCCAAATCCTGCAAACAGCCTTCCGCCCTCTAGCGCCCAGGGAAAGGCGCGCTCTTCCCACTCGCGCGAAGGACAATCATCAGGCCTGCGCGTGGGCGGAGCCTGCGCGGGGAGCTGGGGGGGGGGGGCGCGTTGCAGCCCTGCGCATGCGCAAGGAGTCCCGCCCCACCCGCGAAGCGTTTCACCCAAAGTTGTCTATTGCCCCGCACACCAGTCAGAACCTGCCAGTGTCCACGACCGAGCAAGAGCGGGAAAGAAATCCCGGTGGAGGCTCCGCTGGCTTCTCCAGGAATGACAACGATGCCTTCCTGGCGGGAGGCTCGGAAGGCTCGGAACCCTCCGTTGCAGTCCTTGGAGGGCCGCGGTGAGCATCCTTATCCTTTTGGACAGACCAGGAAGGGCCAGGCCATCCCCACTTCCAGGCTGGACTCCTCAGAGGTGCAGTTTGACACTCTCTAAAGCGGACTCTAAGTTCCGGAGTCGGCCGAGCCTGGGCAGTACTACACCGCGCGGTACAAGTGCAGCCTGGCACACTCGTTCCACACCCGGCTCCTCGCCAGCAAGCTCATTCCCAGGTAAGAATTTTAAGTAATTTAAGAAATTTTTCTGCATAGCTTCTTCAATTCTAATTAAGGAGTTGGCAAACTTCTGTTCCTAGCCAAATATCAAATCTTTTAGGATTTGCAGATCAGGACCTGCCTCTGTCACATATTCGTCTTCGTTAGTTTTCACAAGCTTGTGAAAATGAGAAAAAAACACTCTTAGCATCTGGCCTTATAAACCATGAAGATGACAGTGATCAGAAGTTAGTCATGCATTGCCTGGCTCAGAGGCTGAGAACTCCGTGAGTCCCCCACCACTGCCCACGTCTGACCTGCTCACCTTAAGGACCCAGGTTCTGTGAGGAATATGACCCCCCACACACACCCCTTAGTTGTGCTTGGGTGTCACCCCTAGGCTTAGTTCACCATCTCTTGAATACTACACTTGCACTACATTTTCTCCTGGAGGCAGATGATGAGTTGCTGGTATTCATCAAAGCCACCAGGAACCCCCAGGCAAGCACACAAACACACACACACACACACAAACACACGCACCAGCAGCCAGACCATTCTTGGAAGTGACAGTTACTTCTCATCTGGGAGCAAAAGCCAAAGTTCCTACATTTTGAATAAATTTGTTTAGTGGAAAACTAATTCAAGAACTCTCAGACTATGTATTTTGATAGCTTTTTTCCCCTGTGAGAAATGGGATGTGTGTCCACTGTGGTACTTTTTGGAAAATAATGAAAAGAATATAAATAAAATAAAAATTCTTTACAATCCCAATTCATATAAAATAACTTAAAACATTTATGCATTCTTTTAGTCCTTTTTTAATGCATACTAATAAGAAAGTTATAGAACAGCTAGATTTTTTTTAAATTTTAAATGAACTTTTAAGTGCAGCATAGAAAAAAGTACACAAATTGTAAATATATTTCAGTAAGCTTTCAAATTAACACAAACATACCCTGACAATCAGAATCCAGATCAAGATATAAATGGTTAAAAGCATCCTTTATGCCCCTGCCCAGTCACAGAGTTCTCCCCAAATATAGCCATTACCTTAGATACACAAGTGAGTTTTGTTATGTTCCTGAGTTTTACATGAAATTATTGATTCAATAAGTACTCTATAGTATTTGGTTTCTTTCACTCCATGCTATATTTGAGTTTGTGCATATTTCATGTAACAAATCTTTTTAAAATTTTTTGATTGTTTTTATGCTACATGGTATTCAGTTGTTTGAATATGCAGAGTTTATCCTTTATATGGCCGTTTTTTTTCTTTTTTAATTTTTTATTGTGGGTTGTTCAAAACATTACAAATTTCTTGACATATCATATTCCACACTTTGATTCAAGTGGGTTATGAAATCCCACCTTCACCCCATACACAGATTGCAGAATCACATCAGTTACACCTCCATTGATTTACAAATTGCCATACTAGTGTCTGTTGTGCTCCGCTGCCTTTCCCATCCTCCACCCTCCCCCCTCCCCACCTCTCCCCTCCCCTCCCCTCCTCTCTCTCTACCCACTCCACTGTATAACCCTGAGGGTCTCCTTCCATTACCATGCAATTTCCCTTCTCTCTCCCTTTCCCTCCCACCTCTCATCCCTGTTAAATGTTAATCTTCTTCTCCTGCTCTTCGTCCCTACTCTGATCTTAGTTACTCTCCTTATATCAAAGAAGACATTTGGCATTTGTTTTTTAGGGATTGGCTAGCTTCACTTAGCATAATCTGCTCTAATGCCATCCATTTCCCTGTAAATTCTATGATTTTGTCATTTTTTAATGCAGAGTAATACTCCATTGTGTATAAATGCCACATTTTTTTTATCCATTCGTCTATTGAAGGGCATCTAGGTTGGTTCCACAGTCTTGCTATTGTGAACTGTGCTGCTATGAACATCGATGTAGCAGTGTCCCTGTAGCATGCTCTTTTTAGGTCTTTAGGGAATAGACCAAGAAGGGGAATAGCTGGGTCAAATGGTGGCTCCATTCCCAGCTTTCCAAGAAATCTCCATACTGCTTTCCAAATTGGCTGCACCAATCTGCAGTCCCACCAGCAAAATTTTTTTCTTAATGGCTTTATTATGATAAAATTCACATGCCATACAATTAATCCATTTGAAGTATACAATTCAGAATGGGTTTTGTAGTATATTCACAGATGAGTGTAACCATTACCCACAGTCAAATTTTGGATGTTCATCATCTGAAATGAGCAGTAGGGCATAAAGTCACATAGAATGTGGGAAAATATCTCATTAGATAGAACTATCCTGAGGATGACTGTAAATTTACTTAAGACCAGTAGTACCACCCCAATCTAATGTTAAAATATCCTCACAATTTTTCAGAACATCCCCACAGGGCACAATATGGCCCTGCCTGCTTTGAGAATCTTTGTCACAGGCTCTACCACTATTTCCTTATTCTACACCTTTTCAAACTCATCTTCTAATTTAGACCTCTCTCCAACTCAGGAATCTGAGGATTGCTTTTCCTCCTTTCAGAATGCTTCTCCCCTAAATATTCTATGCTCTTTTCTCTTCTTCAGGTCTTCATGCAAATGTCATTATCTCTGTGAGACCTATTTATGAAAACAAGCAAGCAAAAAAGCTTGCACATTCTCTTCCATATATATTAGCTTGCTTGCACTGCCAGAGCTAATGGACTGAATGACTTAAACAACAGAATTGTACTTTCTCAGTTGTGGAGACTGAAGTCCATGATCAAGGTGTTGGTTGGTTTGGTTTCTCCTGGGGCTTCTCGCCTTGGCTTGGAGTTGGCCACCGGTAGCTGTATCCTCCTGTGGTTTTTCCTTCTGTGTTTACAGCTCCCTTGTTTTCTCTATGTCCAAATTTCCTTTTGTATTAGATTAGGTTAGAGCCCCACCCTAAGGCCTCAATAACTTAATTACCACCTTCAAAGCCTGATGTCCAAATATACTTTATTATGAGATACTGAGGGCTCAATATGTGAATTTTGTGGAAAGGATATGATTCAGTCGTAATATCATCCCTAGTTTATTTTTATCTATACCCATTATTTTAATTACAATATGTTTTAATTATTTAATTTGTTTATTATCTCACCTTCTGTTCTACTAAAATATAGGTTCCATAAGGGAGGAATTTTAATCAATTTTGATCTCTGTAGTGTCTCAAATGAGTAAGAAATTGTAATTATTAACGTTTTTACTCAAGGCTAACATATGGAAAACCTTAAATTTATTCCCAATAATGCTATATCTTTCAGGGCATTCCTTCTAAGTTCTTCATGAATAAAGAAAGACCTATTAGTAGTCCAGTAAGGCATGTATTTTTAAGTTATGTTTGAGTTTCTTAGCAAAAAGGATTATAATAGTAAAAGATTCAGCTTTCTACCAAGGAGTATAAGAAATGTGATATGCTTGTTTCCAAAGCAACAAAAAGCTTTACCTGATTAAGTTGACTGAGTGCTCTTCCATAATACATATGAGTATTCAAGTTGCTGAGGACCCTCACACACAGAAAAATGCTCAGAGACATCATCAAAGAAATTTGCCTATTATAAGCTAATTTTTACCACCTTTTTTTTTCTTTAGGTGGTCAGGCTCATTATGGATGATGAGCTTTCAAAAAGAAAAAAAGATGGAAATCACCAACTATGCTGCCTACTGAATGAGTATTTCCTTGTAGCATGTGCAGAATCAAGGAAAATTAGACTTCTGCACTGTATAATCTACCAACAGCCTACTTTCCTACTGTTTTAGTCTAGGTTATTCTTTAAAAAGCAGAGCCTGAAACAAAGGTAATGACATTCTGTTTGGGAATTTGATCCCAGGGAGCAGGAGTGAAAGATAAACCAAGAGGGGAAAAAGGGAAAGATCAAAGCAAAACAAGGTAATGTTTTCAAGTGGTACACTGCTGTTAATGCTTATATAATGCCGAACCTTCTCAAGAATCTGTCTCAAAACTGTCTTTCTGAGAGATGAAAGGGATAAGTAATTTTATGTCAGCAGCCATCTCCTTGGTGTTGACAGCTGCATTAACTCCCTCATCGGTCTGGGTTGGTACAGGACATCACACCTTGCTGCAACAGAGAAACTTTGGGACAGGAGGCTTGATTCTTGGTGCATGCTTGACATGTGGCCCTGTCAGCATGAAGCAGAGTAAAACCTTACAGACTGTTCACCAGAACTTCAGCTAGAATCAGGTTGAAAAAAAAATTTTAGAGTATACAAAAGGTATTTTTAAGCCTGCATAATACACAGTTAGACTGTCTAAACTGGTTTCCTCTCTTCTTTCTATAACCATTATATGTTATCCAGAACAAATTTGAAAGAAGGGTTAAATAGGAAGGTTAAACATACTGGGGGTTGTATGTTTATACCAGTTTTAACCTCAGGTTTATAAAAAAGAGAAAGTGACAGTGGAACTTGGAAAACTGAAAATTATTGTACTTAAAAAATTTGACCATTGAGATATTAGATACTGTCTAAATTTTGAGATACTAGATACTGTCTAAACTTCTGTCATATCAGAAATAGTCATGAATTGTTTAGAGAAATATGAAGAATAAAATTAACCATTTCTTGTATCACCATGAACTTTATAAATCAATGTTATTAACTTTTCACAGTATACTATTTTCTACAGTCATACAACACTAATGATACAAAGCTTACAACTAATGAAGAGAAACAGGCAGAAACATAAGAAGAAAAATAATTGGGATCACCTATAGGGTTGGCATTAATGTTGGTTGGATTCTGGGGAAATGGCATGATTTCACTTGGCTTTCTTCTGTGAGGATCATCTTATCTACTTTTATTGGTCTGGAATTTCCATTAATAATTTTTTTTTAGTTATTCAACTCAGTATATGTTGAGCTCCTATTTATTAGCACTTTGAACATATGAATAAGACATACAACATTACATCCAAAAACATTAAAATTTCTGTTTTTGTAAAGTATACTCCAAAATATTTATTTAAAAACACTGACCATAAGCTGAATCACAAGTCTCAACAAATTTCAAAAGATTGAATCATATTTAGTATGAATTAAACCAGAAGTTAATTACATAAAGATAATAAAAGAATTTCCAAATGCTTATAAACTAAGGAGCATATGCCTGATGACCAATGGATCAAACAATAAATCAGACCAAAATTTAGAAAATATTTCAAAATGAATTCTAATGAAAAAACAGTATCAAAACCAAATGCCATGAAAGCAAATGCTTACAGGAAATTATGGCTCTAAATGCACACATTAGAAATCGTACAAATCTTAGCTGTTGCTGTTTAAAGAAGCCAGAGGGGTAAATAAATGGAGTAACTTTTCAAACATTGGACACCTGGCAGCAAAGGATTGATCACTGAGAGAGGTACACAAGGCGAAACCTACCGTGGTCTTCAGTTTCTGCAGGTGAACACTCTGGATCAATGCAAGAGAAGGAACATAAGCAGAGCAATTTTGTGGAGTTAAGGAGAAAAAGACGAGTTGAGACTGGCATGGCTTGAATTTTCAGTGTCAGTGAAGTGGATGGTATGCAGAGAAAAAACTGCAAAAAATAAACATTGAGATCCCATTGTGCCCATTGCTGAATATTAAGCCTAACAATACTCAAAAGTTAACATGAGATTAGGAAATATTTAATTTACGTCTAGCTATCTTGGAGAGTCCTCTCTGAGAGCTCCAGGGATTCACCCAAGATCCCTGAAAGGTTACATATAATCTTGGTAGGGCTAACTGTCCTATCTAAAACTGCACTTCCCCCCTACACACACACACACACACACACACACACACACACACAAGCAAGTTGAATGGTATAAAACCAAACCTCAAGTAACTACCTGCCAGAACAAAATCCAAATTCATTAGTTCTAGTTCTCCAAGAAGCACATATAGATAGGATTTGATTTCTAAGAGATTTCTTTGGAGAAATGCCTCTGGGAGTTGAAATGGAGAAGAGGTACCTGTGAAGGTACAAGGTTTAGCTTTATGTGTGTCAACTTCACTGGGCCACAGAAGACCCAGATATCTGCTTAAACATTTCTGGGGTGTCCATGAGGGCATTTCTGGCAGAGCATGGTATTTGAACACACTGAGTAAACAGACCAATCCCCAGTGTGGGTGGGCATCATGCCATCTGCTGAGGGCCTGAATAAAACAAAAAGATAGAGGAAACATTTTTTTCTTTGCCTGACTGTTGAGGTGGGACTCCATCTTCTGCTCTTGGACTGGACTAACAGCCTCAATGCTCTTGGCTCTCAGGTTTTCAGAGGGCAGATCATGGGACTTAGTCTCAATAATTGCAAGAGCCAGTTCTTTATGGTAAATATCTAGATGGGTGGGTAAATGAATGGGTGGGTGAATGGATGGATAGATAGGGACAGACAGATCCTATTTGTTTCTCTGGAGAACCCTGACTAATATAGAAGGAAAGGGGAGAAAGGACCATTGAATAGTGGGACATTATGCTGCAGCACAATTACAGTCAAGTTTCAGGTCAGCTGATGAAGAACACTGAAGCCAAAGTTTCTTATTGGAGGAATTATATTAGGGATAAGCCTGCATTAGTATACCTGCTTTCTCAATGATTGTTCTAATATAGCCTTGGCAAGAAAATATCAGTGGGTTCAGAGAGCAGTAGCTGGGACACTTAGTCATATAAGCTCCCCTTAGCAAGAGATCTGAGTGGTAAATTTTCATGACTCAGTTCATCCCTTATTCTGTACATCTTCATTCGAGCCTGGCTGCCAGGAAGATGAATAGACACCAGTGTCAACTTGAACCCTAGGCCAAATAATCCTAGAAATGTTTGGATATTCTCTTGTGCCAGTGTTTATTTAGTCACTCTAATAATGACCATGAGTCCATTTGGGAAAGAACTTGAGGATTCATCACTGCACACACACACACACACACACACACACACCACTTGTAACAAGGTCTTTTCCTTTTTCTTCTAGGAACATAGCACCTCTTCCATCTGTGTATTCTTTATCTGAAAATTGTGCAAGAAATCATGATATTTCATTGGCATGGTATCTTCAAACTCTTTTCCATTTTTACCTTATTTGGCTATAGTTATTTGGTTACAGGTATTAAGTAACATCCTTGTTATTTGCTCGTGTGTTCTGCCTATAGGCGTGATATCTTCAATTAATCATCTCACAAACATGCTGTGAGTCAAGCCCACTTAACTACCCCTCCAATTTCACCAGTTGTTAGACTAATTACGGCCTCTTGGCTTGTGGTATTAAGTTCCAGTCTTCAGGGCCCTCTATTACTTCAGGGTCCATTACCCCTGAATGATATTAACAAGCCCAGCTCTGTGACTGCCTCATCATCAGACCTGTCTAAAAAGAAGAGCTATCCACTTATCCTAGTGATACTGGCACCCTCACATAGGCACATTGTTGGTGGTCTCAGTTAATTGTGTGTCTTCTGGGACCTCCCTTGGAACAAAATCTTGTAGGTTTTCTAGCCTCATGTTATCCATTCCAGGATGACCATTTCTCTCAGGCTCTTTATTCCTTCTCCTGCCCTTTACCAGATCAGTGTGGGCATTTCAGTGTTGACCATCTCTGTTTTTAGGCTTCCAAGACCTGCTGTAGCATTGGATTTGCTCTATCCCCTGGGGTTCTTGCTAGGAACAACAAGTGTCTGAGACTAGGTAATTGATAAAGAACAGAAGTTGATTTCTCCCAATTCATGAGGATAGATATCCAAGGTCAAAGAACCAGTGTTCAGAGGGGACAAACATTGTGTTCTCTCATAACCGAAGAGTTAGAAGGGCAAAGGGGGCTTTGCCCTTTGAATGGTCATGGTCCCATTCATGAGGGTTCCAGCCTCATGGCTTAATCAACTCCTAAACACACCACTTCTTAATACTATTACATTGACAATTGGGTTTTGACAGTGAATTCTGGGGGGGCATTCAAGTCTACCACAGATTTGATAAATACTGTGCCCTGACAAAGTTCCTGTAAATAAATAAATTCTGGTTTTCTAGCTTAATGTTCTGGCTCTTTAGGTAAAGGAATGTTAAAAGTCACTTCTCTACCAACTTCATGCTGAATTTAATTGTAGTCATCTTCCTAGCACCTAGGAAAGAAGATAGAAGCATCTCAGGAGCACACACCCACCTATTGCCTTGTGAATAAGGGGCCTTTCTGGCATCTTGCATGAGGGGGGGAGCATATAGCCTTCCAAAAAATGCTGTCTAGACATATGACTTTATTGGGAAGTTGTTCTAACATTTAAGAAGGAAAAATACCAAGTTTACTGATTTTCCAACCTAATAGGAAAATACAAACACTTCTCAGCTTGTTTTGGAAGACAAGCATAACTTTGATACCCAATTCTGACAGACACATTGCAAAAAAGAAAATTATAGATGGAGCCAACGTATAAGGACTGGCAAATCAGACTCAAAAACACACAAGAATAGGAATTTTATTCATTATAAGGTTACACTCATCTTAAGATTATATAAAGTCGTAGAGCACAGTCAAAGCAGACAGAGGTCTTGAACAGTGTCATGAACTCCAAGGTCCTTCTTTCTTGCATTGGGTGAACTTTTTGGCCAAGATGTAATGATATGAGCCTCTTCACCTTCTGTAACATATAGCATCTTAGGATGTTAGGATGTTTCTTTTCCTCATATTGAGGTATTAATGTAACTTATACAATATTTTCTTGAGAACCATGCTCTTTAAGTTCATACATTCTGGTTTTATTTTCATAATAAGTCCTATAACCGGGATATCCTGTGAAAACACTTTATAGATAAAATTTTACCTCCTAGAATTAATGTTACCTTATTTGAATGAAGTCTGTTATCAATACGTGCAGAAGAAGATTCACCTAGGTTGCTTGACTTTTTTCTTACCTGAAACATCACCCAAGATGTCTCAGAGAGAAATTAATCAGAGGCTAGCTGCTTAACTCTTTCCTACTTAGAAGACTGTAAAGATCACAAATATAGATGCTCAGATACTAAATAAAATATTATCAAATGAAATCTATAATAGAGACTAATACATCATAAAGTTGATCTAACATTTGAAAATTAATTCATATATAGCAGAAAAAAATAAGAAAAAACATATGATAATATCAGTAGATGCAGAGAAAGCCAGTGAGTCAACAGTCATTAACAATATAAATCATCAGCAAACTAGAAACAGAAGGGAACCTTTCTAACCTGGTAAGGTTAATAACCTATTAAAAACCTACAGGTAGCCAGGCACAGGGGCATATGCCTGTAATCCTAGCAACATAGGGAGACTAATAAGGCAGGAGAATCAAGTTTAAAGCTGGCCTGGACAATTGAGCAAGACTGTGTATCAAAATAAAAGTGCCAGGGGGTATGGCTCAGTGGTAAAGCACCCCTGGGTGCACTCCCAATATCACAAGAAAAAATAAAAGGTAAAATAAGGAATCTTCCCACCAACCCCATACTGAGATTAAGACAAGTATGTTCACTCTTATCACCTCCCTTCAGCATTTCATTTGATGTCCTAGCCAGGGCAATGAAGAAGTAGGATAAAAGAAAAAGCAGGAATAAATATTGGGAAAGA